TTAAGTTTAATTTCTGGTTCATACTGCCATTTTGAAACAAAATAGCCAATAAAGTTTTCAGGGGAAGCATATGTTTAAAAGTAACAAAACATAGTCAAAGTATCAAAGCATTTGATAAACCCAAAGACCCTGCTTACCAGGGTAATGACTCAATAAGTGACAAGTGCTACTGGGAAAATTGTAAAGCAGTCTGGCAGAAATTTGGTATAGGCTAGCATCTCATAGCATATAACAAGATAAATTCCAAATTAATGCATGACTTAGCCATTAGAGGTGACATAAGCAAGTTGGGAGAGTAAGGAAGAAATTACCTTTTGGATTTATGGAGGGAAGAAAAGTTCTTGATGGAACAAGGGATAGAGGGTCACAGATAGTTAAACTGACAATTTTTATTGTATAAAATTTAAAAGTTTCTGCACAAACAACATCAGTAGCTCAAATTCTAATTTTAAAATTAGAAACAATTAGAAAAAAATCTTTGCAGCAGATTTCTCTGATCCAGGATATATATGGAATTGATTAAAATTTATGACACTAATTGCTGTTTCTCAATAATTAAATGGTCAAAGGACATGAACAGGCAATTTTCAAAAGAAAATCTATGTGAAAAAATGTTCCAAATCACTAGTAATTAGAGAAATGAAAATTAAAACACATAAATATAGCAGCTTTTTTCTTTTTTTAAATTAATTTTAGTTTTCAGTATTCACTTCCATAAGATTTTGAGTTCTAAATTTTCTCCCCCTCTCTTCCCTTTCCTCTCCCCAAGACAGTGTGCTGTTATAGTCTCTACATGTACATTCATATTAAACATTTTCACATTAGTCATGTGGTAAAGGAGAATTAGAACCAATGGGTTGAACCATGAGAAAGAAGAAACAAAAGAGAGAGGGAGAGCAAATAATATGCTTCAATTCAGATTCCATAGTTCATTTTCTGGATGTGGACAGCATTTTCCATCATGAGTCTTTGAAATTGTATTAGATCTTTGCATTCCTGAGAAAAGCTGAGTCTATCAAAGTTAGTCATCGCACAGTGTTGCTGTTCAGCTTTTTACGAAGTAGTAAAAAAATGAGTACTGAAGGGGTGCCCACTTATTGGGGAATATCTCAAATTATAGTATGTGAATGGAATGGAATGTTATTGTGCCATAAGAAATGTTAAAATGGATAGTTTCAGAAAAAACTGTAAAGGCCTTTATGAACTAATATGGAATAAAGTAAGCAGAATGAGAAGAATAATTTATACAATGACAATAATATTATGAAGAAAAAAACCTTTAAAAGACTTGAGAATTCTGATCAATTCAATGAAATAATTGCACCAAAGATAAAGAATGGCTACCCACCTCTTAACAGAGAAGCTGATGGACTCACAGTGTTTGGACGTGGCCAGTTGGGGGATTTATTTTTCTTTACTCTGCACATTTGCTATAAGAGTTTTTGCTTTTTCCTTTTTCAGTGGGAAGAAGGAGGAAGCAGGCAAAGAAGAACCAATAAAATCTCGATTATTAAAGGAGAATAAAAAAAGTACCGTACAGATACTATTTTACAGTATGCAAACTTGGTTCTAACAAAATTATTAGAAGGCAGAAATGTGGCAGAAAACTGGAGGGGGGGGGAACCCAACTGTGGTTAGAGATATACTTAGGATGACTTTGTATTGTATCAGAATGCTATATTGGAAGATGAAGAGTTGAGAGTGTAAAGGAACGGAAAGGGGGAAAAAAGTTAGCAAAAGGAAGATAGATTTTTCCTAAAGAGCTTGTACATCTATTTTATACCTATTTCTCTTGATGACTACATAAAGATGAACTGAGACATCTTTATAGCTAATAATCTTTAAGTAAAAGTGTAGACGAGCTTCAAGTTACAGGAGCTGGGATCCCAATTGAGTAGCTAGGTTCAAGCTTTAGTTAACTTTAACAAGCATTTTGAAACATAAACTCAACAGAAAACAGTATTAGGAATTAATGGTCCCATGTCCTTAAATTCAATCCCTGAGGACCCTAAAATCAACTCATTATTTTCCTCCCCCAAATCCATGCCTCTTCCAAACTTGCCCACTTCTGTTTAGAGTACAGCCATCCTTCTGGTCTCTAAGGTTCACGACTTCACCATCCTGCTTGACATTTAACTCACTCTCCCTCACTGCACATAAACTAGTCTAGTTGCTACATCTCATAGTTTCTACCTCCATAAAATCTTTTGTATCCATACCTTTCTTGCTACTTATATGGCTACCATCCTGATTCAGGCCCTCATCACCCCTCAACCTGACAATGGCAGTAGTCTCTTAATTGTTCACCCTGCCTTAAATCTTTTCTCCCTTCCAGTCCTTTCTCCACACGGCTGCTAGAGTAGTTTTCTTAAGGCATAGATCTGACTGTATTGCTTCTCTACTCAGTAAATTCCAGTAGCTTTTCAGGTCAGACCTCCTCTGATATTTACAACCTGGCTCCATTTTCCACTGTAGTGGAAAGAACTGAGGACTAGGTGTTGAGACTTGAATGTTCTAGTTCTGCCTTGGCCCCTAACCATTTATAGAATAGTTAACTTCCTTAGGGATCCTGCTTTTTTTTTTTTTGTTAAGGAGTTGAACTAAGATTATCTGTATCTAAGGTTCCTTCCAGTTCTAAAATTAGTATGAATCTGTATTTCCCTTTAGTTTTTTTTTTTTATTTTTAATGGTCATAGATTTTGTGACCTTTTCTTTTAAGTTTTAGTTTCTTTTTCCTCTAAATCAGGGTTTGACAAGCCAGCTTGCCTGCTCATGAGCCAAGAACAGTTTTTACATTTTAAAGTACAATAAAATTTTATTTAAAATATGTTTAAAAAAACCTGCCATGCTTAACTCTTGGTGTTGGTACAAAAGCAGTTGTCCCTGCTCTAAATTATTAGGGTTTGAGGGTTTTAAATTTCTTGCAGACAATAACAAAAATTTTTGCTGGGTTTTTGCATTCCATCTTCTGCTGTAGACTTTCAAGCTAGGGCTGCTTTGTTCCCTTTTCTCTTTGTATTCCAAAAGGACTTCCAATTAGGCAGGAAATCTCAGGCTTTCTCTGGTAGATTCTTTCCAATTACAAAAGCAACCTCAGTATTACCTTAGAAATGCTTTAAGTACTAAGATAGACATGTGGATATTTGCTTTGTATCCAAGATCTGTTCATGAATAGCCTGGATAGGGTTTAATTTCTAATCCATTCTAACTCTGTACTGGCTCTGTGTAAATATAACAAAATATATACTGTAAGAAAGATTGATAGGAGCAGGAACCACTTTGCTGAGAGATTTGTACATCCTGCAGTCTGGGGGGGCCCAGTTCCCATTTAGAGTAGTGTAGAGCAACCCACAGCTTCACCCCTTCCAGGGAAGGCACTGAAATACTGTCTGGGAATTAAGTACACACATCAATCAAACTTACAAGCCCTTTCCCCAGTTAATATATAATAAAATATTTACAAAGCTAAATCAAATGTTTTTAGTTTAGCTGTATAAGTGGAATGCAATTTTGAGGTCTATTGCATAAAGAAATCCAGTTCCCCAGCAGAGGAGTAAATGAATGGGAAATGGGGATTGGGGGGGGCAGCTAGTGAAGGACACTAGGAGGTGATTTATCCATTAGCTGTGGCTCTTTAAGGCAAGCACAGTGGCTTTCCTAGACTTTTAAACAACTGGATCATAGAACCTCTCCTAAGAAATAAATTTCTGTTAATATCAGTGATTGAATTTGAATAGTAGGAAAGGATCTTTCTTGTCCTGTGAGCCATTTGTAGTAATGTGGTGCATTGTAACTAACACTTGGGCATGGTAATAGCCCAGTATTGGTTTTTACTTAATGAAATATTTAATGACAAAGGTCCGAATTCTGCATCTCCCACAGGAAGGTAGTCTTGAGACCACTGACAAAAATAATTTAGCAATTTGATAGTTGAGTGCTTAATTACTAGAAATTGTTAAGGAAAAGATGTGATGAATTCTTAAATGGTGAGCATACTAAATAACTTAAGTAGATAACTCAAAATAACTTAAACTAGTAAGCTGATTAAAAGTTAGTTAAAAAATCAAATTCTCCCCTCCCCAGTACAGTGTATGAATGTAATTTTAAAAAGGCTGCTACTGTCATTACCATTTGGAAAATGGAGGGGACTGTATCTGAGTGCCCTTGGTTGGTTGCAGTTTTTCATCTCGGTATTGGTAGTTAGGATCTGTGGTTGAGAGTAGGATTTAACTATCAAACTGATAGTGGGGCCCTCTGTCACCTTATGTGTTTGGTTCCAGGGTATCAAAGTAAAGGATTATAACTTGAAACTGCAAATTCAGCCCTAGAAAAACATATAGGTGGCATATAATGTTACTACTGTAGTGTTAGCAGTTATAGGATTAAAAAGCATTAAGAAGATTCAAGAAGAAATAAGGATTAAACTTGGGATCAGAAAACGAGATTTTTTTTTAAACATTTAAAAAATATTTCTGAATAAGAAGAAATGCTGAATCATGTAAAAGAAAAACTCAGTTCACAAGTGCTTTAGGTATTAGTCGAGGGGGTTACTAAAGCAAGAAAAATTATATTAATTTATAAAAGGCTCACGAACCTCTGCACATACCACTCAGCAAAGACTGAAACTACCCATCTTAGTACTAACAAGCTTTCTTCCTTGAGTAATCTCTTTGAGTTCCAGTTCCCCCAACTCTTTCTTTGGCGATGTAACTCAGTTGTCTGAAGCCACTAAAGGCAAAAGGTTGAAGCAGTCCCCAGATTAATAATCTATCACCTTTCTTCAAAGCATCTTTGACTGTAATCCATAGCAATCTTTTCTCTTGAAACCTTTGTGTATTCCTTTAATGGACAGTAAGATGTTAAATGTTAATAAGGAATTATTTATTTCTTTAAGTAAAAAGAAAGTCATTGTCTAAGGCTAACATCCCTCTCTAGCATTGTATTCTAGCACTGTAAAACTCTTCTTAAAGTCAGTTTGCATTTTTTCCTTCTTTTTCTAGGCTATTACTGAATGGTGCTCCTCTTATAGCAATACACAAAGCCAGATATTATAAGAGGAAAGATGGCTTAGCCTTGGGACCTGGACCATTTATTACTGGCTTGGAGTATGCTACAGACACCAAAGCCATAGTTGTTGGGAAGCCAGAGGGAAAATTTTTCTTGGAAGCTTTGCGTGGCATTGATTGTACACCAGAAGAAGTCATTATGATCGGAGATGTAAGTAAATGTCCCGTGATTGTTCCAGTACACCTAGTTAACTGGTTTAGAATAGCTATTTTAGGAAAGCAAATGTTACCACTGGTCTTATATGTATAGTAATAATTCAAGTTGTTGGCATAATTAAAATAATGTAAAATATTTTTTGACCCAGAGTAGGTTTTGCCTTATTGACAGATGGTTTTCAGAACCTAAATTTTGAAGGTTTCTAATAGTTCCAAAGAAGATGATAAAGCACATATACACATATGTCTGTGTGTATATATTTATATTTAATATATTTATATACATAATGCATGTATTTTAAGTGCTTTGTTGTAAGCCTTCAAAATTACATAAATAGGGGCAGCTAGGTGGCACAGTGGATAGAGCACTGGCCCTGAAGTCAGGAGGACCTGAGTTCAAATCCGGCTTCAGACCAAACACTTTACACTTACCAGCTGTGTGACCCTGGGCAAGTCACTTAACCCCAATTGCCTAAAAAAGAAAAAGAAATTACATAAATATCAGTCCTTATTAAAAATCTTGATTTCCAGTTGATAAATGTTGTAAGGATATGAACAGGCAGTTTTCTAAGGAAGAAATTCAGACTATCAAAAGCCATATGAAAAAATGTTCCAAGTCACTAATAATTAAAGAAATATACACTGAAGCAACTTCGAGGTTCCACCTCACACCCATCAGATTGGCAAAATTAATAAGAAGAAAGTGACAAATGTTGTAGGGGCTATGGGAAAACAGCCACATTAATGCACTATTGAAGCTGTGAATTAGTGTAGCCATTCTGGAAAACAGTTTGGAAGTATGCCCCAAAGTTACTAAATATATTTTTTAAACTTGAAAGCCTCTTGTGGAAGCAATCCTGGGTTCTTAATAGTAAGAATAACAACTGTTGGGGGGCAGCTAGGTGGTACACTGGATAGAGCACTGGCCCTGGATTCAGGAGGAGCTGAGTTCAAATCCAGCCTCAGACATGTAATGCTGTGTGACCCTGGGCAAGTCACTTAACCCCCATTGCCCAACCGGGGAAAAAAAAAAGAATAACAACTGATGTTTGTCTAACATTTAATGGCTTACAGAGTGCTTTACCTACATTTCCTCATTCAAGCCTCATAGGAGATCTGTGAGAGAGGCCAGCAGAGCACAAGCTGCGGTTGGCAGGTTATTGTCAAACTTCTTGTCCAAGTATCAGGCTCCATAGGTTCAGAGGAGCTCATCATCTCCAGAAGTTTGGCTACCAAGTGATAGGATTTTTCAGCCACAGCAGTTATTAAAGACCATCTACTAAGAGTTTTTAATTGCATTGTGAAGGGACAAAATAATGGATCCTTGAAGTATTGTGAAATCTAATTTCTGCATAGAACATCCTGTAATAATTACTGATGTTTGCATAGTTCTTTACAGTTTACAAAATACTTATGCAACATATACTTTCATTTTATGTTCATGATTGTCTTGTGAAGTAGGTAAGGCATGTATGTGGCACTGTCTTCATTGTATAAATGGTAAGTTCAGAGCTTAAATCCAAGCCCTAATGTTTTTTCTAGGACATTGTGGATTAACGTCTTCATCAGACCCTGGTATATCGATAGCAAATGCGGGTAGCCCAGTTTTGAATCATAGAATTGTAAGAAATTTTAGAGTTCATCTATTCTACTATATTACACATAAGGAAACTGAGTCAAGTGATGTTAAGTTCCTTGCCCAGTCTCACATAGGTAATTAACGGCAACACTGAGACTAGAAGCCAGCACATTATTTGGTTTCTGATAAGGATAAAATTACTTTCCAAAGTCACTTGAAGAGTTGGGATTTTAATTCTCACTTTCTCAATTCCCAGTCCTCCATTTTCTGAATTCTGCTATTTGTTATTGAGTTGTAGAATCATATAACCTGATGATACTTTTAGAAGCCATCTTTTTATACTGTTCCCCTGCCTCTAGAATTGGACTACATTTAAACTGTAACTAGAAAGCAAAAACCTGTCCTATGTTTTAATATTCTCAGGGAAGGAACATTTTTAATGTTCTAATATTTTCCAAGAAGGAAAGTCTCTATCCTCTCATAGAAAACACATCATGGAATCCCAAAGCTGTCTGCTGGAATATCTGCCTTCAAAATCTTAACACAATTAGTGACTATTGTGTTACCTTGACTTAATAACGTTAGAAGCTGAAAAAATGGGAAGAATACTATTTTTCCATTTCCTGCTTTAATGTAAAAAATGGCATATATTTCTGCTGTGCACAGCTCACTCAGCTCGCCACTAGAGCCAGGATCCTAACTTTGAAGGAATAAGACCAGCTTAACCTTCTATCTCGAATATACATTGATGAGGCTGGAGACAAGATGGAAGCAACTCCGTTTATTTTTAGCAAAGCACTTACTTATATAGTAAAATAACAGGAACTCTTTCTCAAGTTACAATGACGTATAGCCCATGCTGTGCTTAAGGATAGTGCATGCATGTCCTGTGTACTTATCTGACTCCAATCCCAGAGTAGACTGCTAATGACCATACAATAACTAGGGGAGTTAAAGATTGTTACAGATCCATACAATGGAGCACCGAACCAGGCGACCTTTGCTCAAAGATCAGCACCCGAGAGGGGCCTTCACCCATCAGTGAGACCTCTTGAATAGCCTGTGGCCCTCTACATCCTTACAGATCCCCAACATATTTCTGAAAGTAGAACATTGAAGTTGGGTAAATATGTTCTCTATGCCTCAGAAAACAGTTTTGTTACTGTAATGCCTATTCCAGGCCTTGAACATCTTCCCCACAGATGGGGGACACAGCTCTGCTTTCAGAATCTTGCTGGGAGACTACTTTGTCTTCCATCTTTCTCACTTTTTGTGGAAGATGATGGAATTACAGTAGTCATTATATATGAAACATAAATTGTACCTCATTTCATTTATAGCTGTGTGGAAATAAGTACTTGCGCTTAGCCATACGGATCTTCATACTAGTTGGTGGATTGTGGGGTTTTTTTCTGTGTTGACTTTTTGCAGGCAGATACTGGTGTGTTGACTGGTGACTAAATTAATTCTGTGTTATGTTTCCCAGGACTGCAGAGATGATGTTGGTGGAGCTCAGAGTATTGGCATGCTAGGTATCTTGGTGAAGACTGGTATGTATCTTTTACTTCTGCCTGCCCTCCTAGGCAGTACCATAGGAAAAACAACCACATTGGATCCTAAAACTACCTGTTTGCAAAAATGGCAAAGCCTTCTGGAGAACTTAATTTTCCTCATGCCTCCAATTAGAAGTAAAATGCACTGAAGTTCCTAGTGGACAGAAGCCTGTAGGGAAAGGGCCTATGTTTACCACTGAGGTTCTCCTTGGCTTCTCATTGTAATGATAATTGTGAGATCTGCATGCGTTCACTCATTTACATACAGAATTCAGCCTGTGTTTTCTGGACACCTCCAATGCCTTCTGTGGTTAATTAGATCAATTTACCACTGGTTACATTGTTTTGTAATATATAGTGACAGCATAATCATTCCTTTAATTCGTGTACTACACACACACACACACACACACACACACACACACACGATAAAGCCATCCCATTTGGCAACTGGCCATTTAAACAAGCTAATATATGATATCCAGCATTCCTAATATTAGCATTTTCTCAGGTCTCTTTTTACTTTTCAGCCTATTTATGATTGGTAAAGAAAAGTTTGGGAAACAGTAGCAATTGAGATGCTTGAGATCTAGGTATCACAAATGATTTGGTTTCTCAAAGACAGTTTTCCTCTATAGAACATAATTGACTAAAAGCCATTTGTGGATGAAGAAAAAACAAGCAGTAGATAAGGCCCAGTAATTTATCTTATATCCTATTTTATTAAGAATTAATGAATTTAGCAGAAAGTAACCAAAAAATCTGTCAAAGAATCATCATCAAAGCCAAGCTGTGTGTTAATGTTTCTACAGCCATCCCAGAGGATAGCTCTGCTGTTTGCTTAGGTACATGAAATGATAATAAGACCACTTAATATGACTGTTCAAACGAAAGAAGATTTAAAATGTACAAGTCCTTCAAAGTCACAAATAGAATCTTAGAATTGGGGAAGCCACATTGGTCCCAATGTAAGGGAAATGGGTTTTTTCCAAGATGCTCTTCAGGCCATTGCATCTACATTCCATTATTTAGAATCACCATTCTGCCAAGGATTGAAAAGTGTCTAGTATGTGTTTTTGCTCTGCTGTTCAATAATCTAAGATTGGCTTCATAACACTATTTATAACAGTAGCCCTGGATCTTCTCCAAGGTCCTCCTTGCTTCCTGTGTAGGGAACTGGTTGTTGGTATCATGATTGCTCTATTTTATTTTGTTTGTTAATCCCAGTTGTATGTACCTTTCCAGCAATGGCACTCTTGCCCCCTCTGCCTCTTCTTTAACTTCTTCAAAGAGAATGAAGTAAAGTGTCTAAATTCATGATCTTGCTATCTTTTACACATTCTTGTCTCTTGCTGTTTTATTTCTTAGCAACTTAGGAAATCCCCAAATGTAACATCTGCTGTTTTGTACTGTGTGCCTGGATGTTCTTATCCAATAACTCCAGGTTGGACTCAGTGACCTCTGAGATCCCTTCCAGCTCTAAATCTGTCATCCTGGGGTCCCGTGATCCTGTAATTGAGGATTGACTGAAAGGGCCTGAAATGACCCTATTGCACTTCTTCACCAGCCAGGCTCCATAAGTGGAACCTCGAGTTACTACATATGTTGAAGTAAACATTCTGTTACTTGTGGCTTTCTACAGAGGAGTCAAAGGTTAGCCAGCAGAGAAGCAAAATGCTCTGAAAGGATTCCTGTTTTAGGACTGAAGAAATTAATTCCTGCACATGAAAATTTGTTACAGAATCTGAAGAGTTATAGGAGACCTCAGTTGATCATTTAGTTCAAACCCTACTTGAAAAAGGAATTCTAACTGCACCTTATTAACCAGTGGCTTCCCAGCCTTTGCTTGAAGACTTCCAAATGAAAGAGAAACCACTACTTCCCAAAGTAGCCCATCCTGCTTTTGGAGAGCCGTGACTCTTAAGATCCTAACCTTATAGGGCATGAGCCCTGAGACCTTCACGATCTTGGTCACCCTTCTCTGGACTCTCTCCAGCTTTTCCTTGTCTTTCCTGACCCAAACATAACAGTCCAAATGTAGTCTGACCCAAGTAGCAGCCCAAGGTAGGAGCCTTCTCATTTCTAGATCATCTGTCTCTTAATGTAGCTTCACTTTGCGCACACACACACACACACACACACACACACACACACACACACACACTCTCTCTCTCTCTCTCCCCCCCCCCTTCCCTCTCCCTCCCTCCCTCTCTCTTTCCTTCTCTTTTCTCTCTGTCTCTCTTTCTGTCTCTGTCTCTCTCTTACCATATCAGTGTTGATTCTAAAAGAGCAAGAAATTATGGGAAAAGGCAGGTTCAGAACAGAAAACAAGGAGATAAGAGAACAACTCACATTTACATAGTATTTTATATACAGTCTCTCATCCCACAGCCATGAGAAGCAGGTGGTAAAAAATGATTCCCATTTTTACAAAGGAGGAAATAGTGATTGTGACTTTTCTTGATCCTGATTTAAAAGTAATCATTCAATGTTCATTCTTGTCTTTATAGTAAGTGGAGGTGGGGGGGGGGTGTTTGGCAGCTACAGAAATTTTAAATTGCCATAAAGCATTCCAGTAGCTCTGTCATCTGGCATGGTTTGGTGGCTCTGAGGATGTTGAACCTGAGGCTTTTTTGAACTCCCTCCTAGTCCCATCCCATAAAAGCTTCTGTAGGAGGTGGTTACCTTCTGGTTCTCCAGGGGTTGGGGGAAAAGGTTCTATGATGACCCAGGTGCTCTAGGACCAGGATTAATTTAACATCCAAAGCAACTGCCTTTGTTTGCTCTGTTTACTTTCATTTCAGGGAAATACCGAACAGCAGATGAAGAGAAAATTAATCCAGCTCCTTACTTAACCTGTGAGAGTTTTCCACATGCGGTGGACCACATCCTACAACATTTACTATAAGAAAGGAGAGCAACATGAAACAACTTGAAATGTAACTTTTTATTTTCCCAGAATGCATCTTTAAAAACTCACTGGGCCCGGGATGCACAGAAACCCTCCTTTGTTGTGCATTAATTAGAGGGAAGGGTATTGAACTTTAGCCAGTTACTAAGCCTTACTAATCCTAATCCCTCTAGTTTTATTTTGTAAACATGATAAAACCTAAAGAAACAGAAGCAGAAATTTTGTGCCATTCCTTTTAAAATATTCATCAGATTAGGCAGTCAGTCCTAGGAGAGAAAATCCACCATAGGGATGGTGTTCTGCTTGTCTTTTAACTGTTACTCTGGGAGGGAGTAGTATTCAGTGTGTGAATAAAGTTGAATCGGTTTTTTAAATTATAAAACAATGTGTTAAAAGGTGCATCAGCCTGTAGTTTTAGTATTGATTGCAACTGTGAAATCCATCAAATATTTTAAGCAATTGAAACATGTAGGAAGTAAAAATGAATTATCCCTTAGACCAGGCAATCAAGTGAATTTGCTGTAACGAATGATGAAAACTAGATTATCTGCTATATTATTCCCATCACGGGTGACTTTTTTTTCTCTTCATTAGCCAGAAACGACTAATTTAAATTTAGAGCCTGATTTTAATTTAAAATAATATTACCATTAATAACCTATTCATTGCAGATACCTATTACACTGTGTAACAGTTGTTTTGGAAATTTTATGTAAAATTAAAACTATCAGTATTTTACAGATGTTTTAATTAGACATTGTTATTAACAGGAACAGTGCAGAAACTAAAATCAAGCCTTTAATGTCTTATAGACCATGCATTTTTGAAGTTACTGTCCACCAGGGTCCTATTAACTGTACATTTGTAAGATTTCATTATTTTTCCCTCTAACACTATGGGAAAAATCTTTTAGAAGCTACTGGGACATATTCAAGCTTTTATGTACTTGGTTAGTACAGCTGTAAAATGAAATCCTGTCATTTAGCATGGATCATTCTTCTCATGTTAAATCCACCAAAATGAAGGGGCCTACGCTGGTAATGATTTCCCTAGCACATTTGCATACTGTGCTAATCCCGGTCCTTTGCAGTTGTTGTACTGGGCTCTTGGGCATTAAATTATTAGAATGTAATTGTACATCATCATAGCATTCACCTTATTGAAACTCATTGGTGTTAATGAGCTGTGTGTTTTGGTACTTCAGTGCGTGTGGTTTTGGAAAGGCTGTGCTGAAATGGTCGTTGTCTCTCCTTTTCCACAGGCCACCAAACACTGTTTGAATATCACAGACCAGAGAAGCCTGAATTCAAAAAGCATAAGATAGGGACACAGACAGAAATCAGAGCTGCCTAGATCTTCCTCCATGTTTTTGGAACTACCAGTGTGGTTGTTCTGCCCTTTGGACTGATTTCACTCTGCTTTAAAAGTAGGAAAAACACTGCTCAGAGAGGAAAAAGCTCTGAGCCTCAGTCTGGATTTCCCATAGTGTGTGTGTCATCACCAGGGCTGCCTACAATTAGTGGGTAGAGAGAGGGAATCTTGTTCATAATCTTTTAATATTTAGAATATACTTTACAACCAAAAGAGACAAGCAGGGATTGTGCTTACTCCTATTATTATTTCAGTGGGAGAAAAACCCCCAAAACTTCTCTAAGGGTAAGTCATTCTGGGTAGGGTTCCTAATAATTGCAGCTGGTTTTAGGCACATTCCAGCACAGGTTCCTATAAGATTTGCTGCTTTGGCTGTGAGCCTATAAGAACCTGATTCTTACTACCTAGCTTTTTAACCCCAGTTAAAAAGCTCCATGCTAAGTACTTTAGGGAATACAGAAAAGTATCCTGCTCTCTGGGATGAGTAGGCAAGAGTAACACAAAATAATTAAAGCACATCCTAAGCCAGCATAAGTGATGAATTTTTCAGTATAGATAACAAAGAATTATGTATGTTCAGAGAAGGGTGAAAGCATGGGTTGAGTGGTTAGGATCTGAAGCACTGATTAAATTGTAGCTCTTGTGAGAGGAGGGCTAGGCATGGCATGGACAGCTCTCTCTTGGTTTTTGAAGAGCTTATTCCTATACTTTTCTGAAAAGAACATGCTAAATATGAGCTGTAACCTGCACGTCCAGCATGAACGATGTGCAGAGCAGCTAACTGCCATTCCTACTGAGGAAAAGGCCAAATGTGAGAAAAAACAAACTAGAAAAATATTTTGGTGAGGAGATAGATACCAAAGGACATTCACAAGGGTGGCCATCATTTTTGAAGACTCTTAAAGTTTGAATAAACTGGTATATTGACACTTCCCCATAGCCATTCCCTTTAGAAAGGGATTCAGTACTTGGTCAGTCTTAGGGCCTGTCCAGTGATAGAGACCATGGGTTCTGGTGGTTATCAGTTTTTGTATAATCTTACAAGGGCCAGGAAGTAGGAGCAACTAGGTGGCAATTTCATGAGATTATGAACTTGACAGAAATTGTACTTTCATGTTTTTCTTCTGAGACCGGGGAGTGCTTGAGATGTTTGTGTTGGTTTTTCTGTAGGGCTGAGTCTTTGCTACCTGGGTCTTTAATGTGCCCAGAGCAGATGGGTGCTGAGAAATTTAAGAATTGATAGGCAGTTTGGCATCATTTAGGTATCATTAAAAGCAATGATTCTCAAATCCCCAAGTTGCTGTGCTGTTCCCACTTTACTTTGAGCGTATATGGCCATATACATATAAGCTTATATGCATCTCTAATCAAAATAAACCTCACAGCTTGTTTGTATAGGCTACTCACAGACAGACCAACCGACAGACAGACAGACACACACACACACACACACACACACACACACACACGACTTCATTCTCCCTGTAAAAAGCTAGAGGAAAAGTAGGATAAGTAGTAGGTTTAAGAAGGCTGGTTCACTTTATTTATTCAGATTATAGTTCTACCAAGCATGTGTTACGAGCTTTTAAATTCCTTTGGAACTCTTCTTGTGCAGCCCCCTAGGGATTTTTTACTGTTCCTTCCTCTCAGAGAGACTGAAGGTTGGTCTAGATGCTTAAGGAAGCATATTTTCTTTTCCTTCTTTGACTCTTTTTCTTTGAACATGACTAATGAAGGGATTTTTTTTGCATGATTATACCTATTGGCAATGGGCTTTGTTTTTCTTGCCTTCTCAGTGCTGGGGGAGCAGGGGAGATAATTTTGAACCGAAAATAAAATAAATAAAAATGTATGAACGATAACTTTAATTCCATTGTTTGGTTTCAGCTTTGGGCCATCCCACAAGTCTTAAAATCCTTGGGCAGCTACAATAGAGAATTATTAATAGTTTGAGTACTAAACTTAATTCACTAAAAATAACTGCTTCTAGCAACAAACCACATTTGAACATTAACATTTGTTTGCATAGGGCATAGTTGGGCTCTACTTTGCACATCAAAAGTTTCGAGCCATTTTTAAGATTTAACGTGGGGACCCACTGCTGACTTCCCAGAATCTGAGTTGGAAGAACCTCTGAGGTCATGCAGCCCATCCCAAGAAACCCTCCCTTTACCAAGAATAGTCACCTGGCCCGTGCTGGAGAGCTGTACTGAAGGGAAGCCTCCCACCATGTACCATAGTTGCTTGTTAAGCTTTTTGTCTACATAAAGACTAAATTCTTGAGCCTCGCTGTTCTTTCCAAGGTAAAACAGAAGAAAGCTGATCCCTCCTACCTTTGAAAACAGGAACCTCTGCTGTAAGTCTTCCCAGGCTAAATTTCCCTAACTCCTTCACTTTTGTAGGCATTAACAGATGAAGGCATGCTGCCCCCAGAAGATTACAATCTGAGGGCTTTAACAAAGCTGTCAGAGCACTTCAGATCGTTTTAATTAAGACATCCTAATTCTGAATACTTCAGAATTCACCTTCATACCGTCTTGGTCTTCCTTGCCATCTTCAGGATGGTGTCAGTGAGAGAAGACCAAGAGGTTGGAGAAGCTTCATAATACAGTGGAAAGTCAGAAGATAGGAATGGGGGTTTCTGGACAGAGATACTGGAGTAGTTTGCCATTTCCTTCTCCAGTTTAGTTTACAGATGAGGAAACTGAGGCAAACAGGGTTAAGTGACTTGCCCAGGATCATACAAATTAGTAAATATCTGAGGCCTGATTTGAACTTGAGGCCAGCACTCTATGTATGTGCCACCTAGCTGCCCAAAGAACACTAATGGTAATTAATAAAGTCAGAATTAGGATCTAGGCCCTGTGATTCCAAATCAAGTGTTCTCCATTGCACCACACTACTTCTCCAATGATGGACAGTCATATAGTCTTTCACAGACAACACCATTTGAACCTTAGGACAATCATCCTAACATCAGTAGGTCAGAGATTAAAGTGACTTGTCCATACCACTAGTAAGTCTAACACTCTATCCACTATAACACACTTGTATGGAGATGGAATTCTTTGTAGAGGCAGCATATATAATACCCTGGAGGTGGGAGATGATGGTTACCTTAATAAATATCTTAACCTGTTAGGACAGGCAACCTTACCTACTAAAAAACAGCCTAACACCAACATTAAAGTGAAAAAGGTGCTTGTGTGATGCAAATTCCTGTGACAAAACTCATTGTATTTACTCATAAAAATCATAGGTATACAGTGTTAGGGCTATAAGAGCCTTAGAGGTCCTCTAGACCAGAGTTCTTAACCTGGGATCCACAGAACTCCCAAGGGGTCTGTGTAAAAGTTGCAGAGGGTCTGTGAATTTGGTTGGAGGAAAAATAGGATCTGGCTTTCTTTGTAATCTTATATACTGTATTTTATATGTTTAAAAACATTATCCTGAATAGGGATCCATGATACAAAAAAGGTTAAGGACCCTTTATCTAATCCAACTCCTTTATTTTACTGATAAGAAAACAGTCCCAGAGAGGGAAGTGATTTGCCTCTGGTAATAGATATAGAGTCAGAGGTAAAACCTGGATATAAGTCCAGTGCCCTTTGCACATGCAATCTCAAATCCAGTAATCATAGTGATAATTTACTTCAAGATTTACAAGGTGCTTTTTTCACTCCAATCCCATGAGGCAGTCTTAACTGTTATCTCCATTTGGCAGATGAGAAATCAAGTTACCCAAGTAACTGGGTAACTGGGTAACTCAAACCCAGATCCTCTGACTATTTGCTGTGTTGTTTCCCCTAAACCATGCCTCCTCAGCTTCAGTGAAGTTTAGAAGTCTTTTGGGGTAGGATCCTGGGTTAAGAAGTGTGTCCGGGAGGGGGGGCAGGCAGGTGGCACAGTGGATAGAGCTCCAGTCTTGGAGTCAGGAAGATCTGAGTTCAAATGTGGCTTCAGATACTTGACACTTACTAGCTGTGTGACCCTGGGCAAGTCACTTAACCTGACTGCCTCACCGAAAAAAAAAAAAGTAAGTCCCAGGAAGTGTAGAGATGAATATTACAGGGAAGAACATGAGGATTGGGTTGGTCCCCAGACCAAAATGAGGAAATTGGTTTTGAAGGGTTCAGATCCAATTTCATAAAGTTTTTAACTTTTAAATTAATGTCATTTAATTAAGTTAATGTCATTTCACATCACAGTAGTTTAATGGTAGGCATTCTCTAGTTGTGAGATCCTGCTATTTATTTTAGCACCTTGTCCTCCTGTTTCAAGTTTGGACAGGTCAGTTGAGATTGCTAGGCTCCAGAGGGCAGAAATAGGAACAAGGAAATTTCAAAAAGGCAAATGTAGACTTGACATAAAGAAAAGATTAAACTAACCCAAACTGGAACAGCCTCCCTCAGGAGACATGGGTTTCCCCTCACTGGAGGTACCCAAGTAAAGGCTAGATGACCACTTGTTGGATAGAGAGGATTCCTGTTCAGCGTTAGGTTAGAATGAAAGGCTTCTGGGGTCCCTTTCAATTCTGTGTGATTTTACAACACTTTCAATACTTAGAGTTGTGGCAAGAGTCAGGAAAGGATAGGGGTAGGAAGTGTTACAGATGAGACCTCACCTGTTTGGTAAGACTAAACCTAGTGACACACCACATGTGAGGGGGGAAGAGGAAAATTCCAAATGTGAGGAGTTAGGCAGATTGTACCAAGCAAATTGGTTCAGAGTTGGTGAGTCAAGAATATTGACACTGTGAGTTCTGGACATCAGACCTTCAGCTTAATCTGGTAGTCACTCAGGTTTGCCCTCTCCTTCATGTTCCATGTCAATTGGTTGCCAAATCCTATGGATTTTACCTCCACAGTATAGGAGGGGATAGGAATCAAATTTAAAAAAAAAATAGGAACTTAATAAAATTGTCAAATGTGAACATCTCCACATAACGGAAGGAAGGAAGGAAGAAAAGAGCTTGTTGGACTAACTAACCACCATAGTGCACTCATTGGTTATGGTGATGTAGGTGTGAGGTGCTCAAGACAATCCTGAAACTTAACTCTGTGTGGCTGCCTCCATTGCTTGGGTGCTCTTAGTTGCTAATCACAGGATCTCAGAATTGAAAAGGCCCTCAGAGGCCATCTAGTCCAGCCCAGAGATAAACAAGAGTGTTCTCCAACATCCCAAAAGAGATGGTCACCTAGGCGTTGCTTGAAGTCTGGTGTTCTGGAGACCTGCCTCTAGAAAACAGCCCATCCCTGTTCCCTGTAGCTCTAATCGTTAGAGGAAAACTTTTGCATCAAGCCTACGTCTGCCCCTCTACAACTTATACCCATTGCCCTAATTTAGCCCTATAAATCTATTCTTTTTTTCACACAATAGGCCTTAAAGATACTTAAAAGATATTTGTCCTGTCTCCCCAAGTATTGTGTTCTCTAGGTTAAAGATCTTCAGTGCCCATATGAAATGATCTTGAGACCTTTCCTTTACTGTGCTGGTCACCTTTTAGCTTATTGATGTGCTCCCTAAAATGTAGGATCCCAGAACTGAGCAGAATATTCCACATGTGGAATGGTTACTGGGTGACAAAGCTAAAGATTCAAACAGAAATCCTCTATCTCCAAATCCAATGTCATTTCCACTAGGCCACACTGCCCCCTCAGCCTTCTCAAATCCTCCTGCTCTACCTCAGCCACCCAGATAGATGGTCACACCCTTCATCTTGCCGTCATCCACAACTGTTCTACTTCCATATTCAAGAACTCTGAAATTCAACTTTTCATCTTTCCCTGTGCTTGTGAACCTGGTCTTCATCCTCCCCGTGGCCTCCATTCCTTCATTTTTTTTGCAGGTCATCACCCCTGCACTAGAAATAGTTTGCTCCTTTCTCTATCTCAACCCTTTAGTGAAACAATTTAATTCTATGTTCTCTTCTATTCTTGAATCCTTCACTCCCTTAGCAAACCTCAACCTGGAGAACTCCCACCATCGGCCTCCTTCACTCTTATTCACATGCTGCTGAATGGAACTACAGGAGTATGAGTTCAGTGATTACTTCTATGCAAATGATTTCCAGATTTCTATATAATCCAGCCATAGCCTGTCTCCTGAATTCTAGTCTCACATCAGTCAGTCAATAAACAGTTATTAATCACCTACTATATACCAGGCACTATGCTAAGCTCTGGCCATAAGACAGTTCTGGTCCTCAAGAGGCTCACAATCTCCTGGGGCAAACAAGTATGTACAAACAAACTACAGGAAAAATAGAAAATAATTTAAAAAGGGAAGACACTAGAATTAAGAGGGTACTCAAAGGAAGACAGAAGTCAGTAGGTGAAGATGAGGAAGGTGAGAATTCCAGGCATAGGGATAGCCTGAGAAAATGCCCGGGGTCAAGAGATGGAGTGTGTTGTTCAGGAACAGCAAGGAGGCAGGTGGCACTAGATTGAAGAGTACTTGTTGGGGAGTAAGGTGTAAGAAGACTGTAAGGGGGAGGGTATGAAGAACTTTGAATGTCCAAATTATTATATTTCATCCTGGAAACAGTAGGGAGCCATTGGATTTGACTGAGTAGGGGACTGACAAGGACAGACCTGTGGTTTAGGAAAATCATTTTGGTGGCTAAATGGAAGATGGACTGGGGTGGGGAGAGGCTTGAGGCAGGCAGACCCACCAGCAGCTTATCGCGATAGTCCAAAAATGAGGTGATGAGGGCCTTCATCAGGGAGGTGGCAGTATTGGAGGAGAGGAGGCATATTTGAGAGATGTTACAGAGATGAATTCAGCAGACCTTGGCAACAGATTGGATCTGGAGGGATGAGATAGTGAGAAGTCAAGGATGATGCCAAGGTCACAAACATAGGGGTCT